ACTTGTCTTCTGGATTGAGTTATAATTCGGTTTAAATTTACGACTATTCAAATGTGCTCACAGCCTTCATCAAGGCAATGAGTACTCAGAAGACAAGTCATATTCACATATTGGTTGTCAGCAAGCTGAAGTGCAAGGGATTAGAAGCAATGGCCTGCACAACTACCACATCACACTTTACATTTTCTATTCCCCTCGTACAGTGATGTAGCTGAGGCTATTTGTCCAGCATACAGCGTAATTATTAACTTTGACATGAATTTTCCTTATTACTTCAGAAACGTCTTCTTTCAAACGCATTTGAGGACATACAGCAAGATTATGTTATACGATTAAGCAAACAAAAATTGTAAGGACTAGGAATGAAGCAGTTGTGTATTTCAAGGGAAATGGTCGTCATTTGCATGGAAACACTGGAAAAAAACCCCACAAAACATGCTCAGTGAGGATAATGTGGGATGGTTGAAAATCAAAATGGAACAGAAATCAGATGCATTAATAATGAACTTCTTACATGCTCCATACCGAAGCACCAAATAGCATCTGTAGAATTCATAAATCATTTATTCACTAAAGCTGCAAGTACAGACCTTGCTTAACTAAACATTTTAATAAGATTTAAAGGTAACAATTAAAATTTACATTCAAAATAGTTACAATGTAATCAATGCAAGCCCATTACAATTGTGTGAAGAGTCTGCAGAAAATGCGTAATATGATGGAACGCAAACAACGAAAGCTGCAAGCATGATCAACTTTTTATCCATAAATATATTCTAACAAACAACCCTTATTACAAAGACTGCTGAAATATTCGGTACTTTCACCTTTTTAAAGTCATATTTATACATAATCAAGCTTCATGAGATTACACAGCTCAGGTAAAACTGCACAGCTTAAAATATAAAAAGAAGAATGTAGCAACGACGACCCTGGCCAAATGTATGAAGCAAAGACACAGCATGCAGAACTGAATGTTTCAACTCATTCCTACGTTTTTATCGCTGGGCATTCACGAACTCGTGAAAGTACGCTACAGCGCGCACTTTTCCGAGTGACGTAACCCTACGCAAGTAGTAACATCCAGACATAATTTGAAGCTACGAACAGAAAATTGTTTATATGCAGTCAACTTTATTGAAGAAGAAAAATATTTCAACACTTTGACTCATAAAAGGGCTATGCAAGTTTTATGGAAATAACCATTAATTCTACTAACACATATTAGGTATAGTAAAAAAAAGTTTTCTGCCTGCTTTATGAGTATATCAAGTATCTTCACAAACATTTCCCACAAATTCATATACAATAATGACAAAAACATTTAAACAGATGAAACACTCCAGTAATGCCATCAAATCAAGCCCCCCAAAAAGCCTCACCCCCTCCTTCTTGTACAGCCCAATTATATTCAAATTTCAATGTCTCAACAATTTATAAAACTATGGGCTATGCATGAATACATGGCACTACAACGATACATCATTGATACAGTATATAAACAATTTCCTGCGTTAACTCGGTGAATATACACAATGGTACACCAGTATACTGAATTCTTTGAAAGGTCGTATTAATGTCAAACATCAAAAGGATGCGCAATGAATACTTTGGCTGTAAACCCTCGAGTTAAACCCGTGACTTCTAATTCAGTGATGTTCTTTCGATATATATATGCAAGAAAAGTTATATAACGGCCATTATTTTGTATGTCTTATAACTACACCCCAATTTCTAAGCAAACAAAAAAATCAGTCTTCTTTTCATGTTCCAGGCCTACCAAGTTGTCTAATTATCTTTTGTACAAGCAATGCCATTAAAGAATCAAGACTCTGCACATTAAAAATACGCCTTCCTAAACCAGCCAATCCAAAGAAATCTACATCACATCTTTCATTCACACACTTCGTTACATACTAGGGCGCTGCAATGGGACCAGCAATGAATATTTCCTTTCGGTAACACAACTAAGAAAAAAAATGGGACAAGTGGCAGAGAGTGTATTCATAATTGAGAGACAAAAAATCAATCGGAAGAATTAAATATCACCGTATTGCAAGAAGGACACGAGAAGCGACGCTCTCTCTATGTGCTACCATTATTACCATTCTGTACCACGTAATGTGTCTGTGATATTGGCTTAAAATACGTTCCACTCACAAGTAGAATTGCAATCTTCTGTGCTGAAATACTGAATCAAACATGTGTTAAGTAATAACCAAATTTATTCCAAAATGTTATATATATATATAGCCTTCTCATTTCCATCTTGCACAAGCTATGACCAAATCAATCAGGCAATGTGACTATAAATATCATTAACCTTGCTGCAAAAGTGTGATGCTGGTGATTAAATAGCATCGATGTCCAAGTCGTCTTCTCCCTCGTCACGATCAACGACAGGCTTTTTGTTAGTAATCTGCTTTGGTTGTTCTTTCAACGGCGATGCTTTAGCACGGTCATCATATTCAATCTGGAGAGCAAGAGCGACAACTGTAATTAAATGCACAAAGAAAAAAAACTGATACGTAACAGCAAAATAAACAGAGTAGCCTCTCAGTCTGCCTTATCCAAGATACATTCAGCGAAAGTCAGATATATTGTATAATCACTGAGGTCACTCACAGTAACTGTGACAGTACGCATTTCTTTTGGTTCTATGTCCTTGACTGTGTCGCAGTTTATTTAAGTCATTCCATGTATCTTTTGGTTCTATGTCCTTGACTGTGTTGCAGTTTATTTAACAAAGTCATTCCATGTGACAGCAATTATGGAATTATTAACAGAAAATAGACATGGTCCACGTAAAACACCATTCCTGTATGGTGCAAGCGGTCATGTTTCAAGCGACATACCTCCAGATCATCATCGTCATCTTCATCTTTACTGTCACTGTCATCTTCCTCTTCTGCCTCCTTCAGCCACTTGATGAAAGGTTCTGCCTTGGCGTGGATCTCCTGGCTCAGCTCTCGGCTCACGTACTTCTTACTAACTTTCCCTGCCCACTCGAGCAGAACCTTCTCCTCCAGAATATCAGCATCGTAGAACATCTGTGAACACATACACACACTCCATTTTGGAATATAATGTTTCCAAATGCATCCTCTATAATCAGGTAGTTCTACAAACCAACTGCACCGACAGAGCCTTCCAAAACAACGCATCATGCATTGTACACAGAAACACATTTCTTCCCTTGAATAACACAAATAAATATATTTACATTACATTATATATCATGTCCTTGAGACCTGCACTCAGTACTCCTGTCAGATGCAAGGTTATGATTCCAGAACGGTGGATTCTACGATTCAGGCAAAATAACGTACAGAGATGCAGATATGCGGCATTACTCAATAATTTGCGATGGGATGTAAAAAGAAGTTCACCATCCAGACTGTTTCTCATCTCCTCCTCGCGTATCATAACACTGGATCTCTGAGGTTAAAGCTGAGGGGTGTATTGTAATAATAATAATAATAATAATAACCTTGAAGATTCCAGGCACTTTCGGCAGAAGGGTGTCCTTGTGCAAAGCAATCACCTGTTCAATACCACCAAGCAAGTACTTCTGAGCTTTCAGATCCTCATGAGTGAAACGCAGAAACAGGATGCGGTATTTCTTCAGCTGTGAACACAGGGCAAGCAACAGAATTAATTTTGCGACTGAAAGGTGTAACAACATTAATGATGACTGGCTGATCTTTGTTCATTTAATGTTTGCTCAACTTTGTACACTACTTGTAAAAAATCAAATGGGAAGACCAAACACCAAATGACGTAGAGCATAAATGTCAATCTTGCTGTCAGCAAGCTGTGTGCTATCCTCTTTGACTTTTTTTATAACCCAACCCAGCTATATATATCCAAAGTTTAAGTTTTATGAAAAAAACAAGAACTCGCTATACATCTGCACTGGCTATATGACACATTCGGATTTCTGGCAGCATTTTCCATGAAAGAAAGTGTGCCTTACTCTCCAAAAAATACTGCAATACCACATTTTATCACTGTTGTACAAACCTGCGTATGAACATTCTGATCAAAAAGCAACTCGGCCAAGACAAGTGGAGCTTTCGACTTGATCTCTAGACGCTCAGCTTCAGTAACCAACTCCTTGTGAACATTGATATCCAGCAGATGGCCGGCATCACGTCTCGTTTTGATGAATTCATATAGCAAGTCCATACGTTCCTTCTCGGTCTTCTCAAGGTCATCGCTGATGGTCATTCCCTTAGCCCCGTCAGTCAGCTCTTGCAGGCGAGCTCTGACAGCTTCCTCCGACACTTCTACTGCCCAGTTTCCATCATCATCCTGAAGTGGAAAACATGAATCAGAAACTAAATAACTAATACAAACTTCAGGTTTCTTATGATCCATTTTATATTTATCAGGGGTGCATGCATTTCCCTACTCAAAAAAGCTTGTACCAATCCGCTCAGCGACAATGACACGTACAGATGTATCCGTAGGAGTGTCAGCTGATAATATCGACACCACAGTCAATACAATAAAAATGGAAGGGTTATTTTTCCATGAGTTGAGTCATTTCAAATTACACAAGGAAGAAGCGTTAACCCTTTAAGCTGCGACGTTAATTCTTTACCCACCTAAGAAACTTTTTGTTGCCTCTAGGATCAAAGTGATCTTTGGATGTTGAACTGTGACAAAAGACTCTACACTCACATTCTCATCTGCCAATTTCACTGGAGCCTCAACCACCTGATCGCTGCTGTCATTATCAGAGGAGCGACCACCATCTTCATTCCCATTAGTTCCGTTTGATTCGCCATTTGCCTTCTTTGAGCGTTTACCTCGCTTGCCCTCGGTTAAAGAGGATCCCTGGGCAGCCGGATTCAAATCTAGGTGAAACAAAACCAACACAGTTTCAGATATTTTTAAGCAACATTTTTTTAAACACCTCGCACCAAGAAAAAGTTGGGAGCTTTCTGCGTCGCTGACTTTCGTTAAAAGTCACATATGACAATGTCCAAATTTACCAAGAGACACTAAAAAATATTTTATACATTCTACACGTGTATCAACACAGCAGACTTACATTGACCACAATCTCTGACTTCAAACAAGGATATGTACTGAGCTTCACAAACAAACAAATATATAATACATATTTTAATCAATTATATAAAATCATCCCCACTTAAGCAACAGGTCAAAGGAGTCCATGAACACATTGAAAGCAGCCTTTTAAAAAAATAAATAATGCAGTTTTTGTTCTCACTGTGGTGATTCTGGATGGTTAATCAGCAGCGATTGATTGATGAACAGTTTATAATGTTGGTATCTGCAGATTTACTGCAATGGTAATCTGCTCGTTCCTTTTTAAAACAAGATCCCGACAGTTTTTAACTGAACGATATGCTAAATATCATCTCATAGTCTGCCTTATACAAGTTGTCTTCACTGACAATCAGGTGTATTATTATAATCATGGATGATTTTTAAAGCATATAAAAATTACAGTGAAGTTACTGGTGGCTGCCAGGTCCATTAACTGGACAGGTGGATACCGATTTCAGACACTGGGAGAATTTAAAGGAATCCACGTTGATTATCATTCGGATACTAATTACATCTGGACAAAGTACCCAATTCTACGATAGCCCACAGAAATGACATGCCACTAGAGGTCTCCAGATATCAGTAAGATTCCAACGTAGAATTTGTACAAAATTCTGATAAAAAATTGACATATACACATTAGTAACATTTTATAAAAGTGAGAATTACTGTCAAATGCGTAAGGAACTTACTTGGAGGGTTCTTGATTATGAAAGTGTTGAGTTTATGGTTGAATTCAAGTGGTCCATGATACCCACAAGCCTTGCATGCTTGGTTGATGGTTGACTTTTTCTGGCTTACAGTCAGCGTGGTTTCTGGATTGTCACACTCGGGGCACAGCACAAACTTGCGAATGAAACCATCAAGCAAGTCTTGCAGCTTTGTCGCATCGTGCGAACCGTTCACAATAAAGCGGTCGTTCTTGAAATCAAACTGGGTCTGAGCTCCCAGTTCACAGCCAAAGTATTTTGTTGGGTCTACATGGAACAGAAGTTCATACTGAGATCCAGTTTGTCAGCATTACAATTTTAATGATTTTAACACAACAAAAGAATACAGAATAAAAGTTAATTTTAACACTTGGAACAGACATTACACACTCATGTTTTCAATAACTTAAACACATAAAGAACAGTTTTCTTGTGAATAGACTTACAAAGGCCACAAAATTTTGCCGTCATGGGTTTACGCAGCAACGTATTTCCAGATGTTTAAATAAACCTGTTTCGTTGGGTTCTATTACAGTTTATGGAACTCCTGTGTTCAAAATCACCAATATGAAAGTAAAGCAGTTCTCCTAAATGTCGTGGACAACCTGCATTAAAACTAGTTTTAAAATTACCCTCAAGACATTTCAACCAAACTATTTCCACTTACATGTGGCAGGTCTTCCTATAGCTTTGGCGACATCTATCATATTGACGATGACAGTCTTGATGCCATTACCCTTGCCCTCAACCTTGGCACGGAGGCGAGGCATCTTGTACCGGTAGAACGCATCGCTCACACTGCGGTTTACATTCACACTCCCCATTTTGAAGATGAAGGTTCAAATGACCGGGCAGTGCCAGTGGTGACAACAAGAATCTTGGCAACAGCAGGCGATCCACAACTGATCTTAGCGACAATGACGAAAAAGACAGAGACAACAGCAACAAGAACTTGGATGAAACAGCGTTGTTGATTCTAATGCTGGTAATGCTGATACCGTTAGATAGTCACGTTTCTCTGAACGGTTGTAACTTCCGGTGCCGATTACTGGAAAATTTTGATGTCCTAAGTGACAGAAGATCAGAATGCAAAAGGTCACAAATTGCTTTCCCTTGAATTTCATTAAATATTTCACACATGAAAGAAAAAAAGGGGGTGGGTGTGGGGAAAGGCCTGAAGATGGAACGAACATCCACTCACCTATAACTGATAGGCTCCTGCCGCTTAGATGAAATCATACACCTTGAGTCTCGGCCACGAACTGGCTCTAGGGCTATGTGGAAACTCCCAGATTTTCCTCTGGATAATGTTGTCTCTGCAACAAAATGTATTAAGTAACGCATCGTACGGAGTGTTCAGTCAAAAGCTGCTGTATCATCTGTATTGTACGAAGTTAACTCTCCCTGATAAAGGCAGACCACGACAAAGAAATACCGCATGCAGCCTATATTCTGGCAACAGGATTAACGCGGCCATTCTCAATTTTGTAAGCATTTAACAATGAAACAAAAGAAAGATTTTACTTTCTTACTGAAGTGAGAATGTTGATTTGGTCTCATGGGTAAAAATGAGACGCTCACTTGTCAGCGGATACTGTTTCAGGGGACTTCAGCCCTGAAAATGGAGGTTTCTCTGAAACACTGAAATGATACACATCTTCAGATGGTAGTCACGAATGGCCAAAATACTGGTATAAAAGTATTCCAGGTTTAAATTATAAAAATGCCAATGCATAACTTTAACCGCCTGTTCTTCTAGTCTGAATGACATTGAAATTTCCGCATGTAATACCACATTAAGGTAATTGTTCTGAAGGACGGGGGAAAAGTGAGTATCACAGTGACCGGTTTCAACACCGATCAGAGTGTCGTGGAATGCAGCGCCGGTAATAAGCAGATTCCAATTGGGTTATGAACCCATATTTCATACAAAGCATACTTTCTTGCAATCTCGCAACATTTTACACACACCAAATTATATATGAAACGCTTCAACTTCAGCATCTTATCCAGACACTGATAATACGACCATGTTTCAACGGAGTACAGTTAACATCCTCTTCAATGTACTTTCATGGAGACAAAAGCAGATAATTTTGTAGTTTGAGGTAAGTTTCTGTTATTTGTTACAGACACGAAGAGCTTCTGAAATCAATTTCCATTCGCAACTACAGCAATAAAATTAAAATTTCAAGCATTTTTAATAACAAAAATGATCACGTCTGATGCAACTGACAACGGTCTACAAAGTGAGGATACTTTTACCATAAAATTATCATCATTTTAGTGGTTATGCTGTTTGGCAGAGGACGCACGGTTTTCAAACGTGCCGAACCTCGGGTGCTGAGGACGAGGATATCTGAATTCAAGATAGAGGGAAGTAAAATGATGCAGAAAAGTAAAAAATTGAGGAGCATGAATTTACACCCACGAACGTCGCTAAAAAAAATCATGGCAACATATAAATTTATGCTATAATAAGCAGTAGTGCCCAACTTTACTATTCACACGGGCCAACTGAGATAAGCTACAAAAGAAGAACCGAATTCATCTCAGGATAGACGCCAGTGGTGGACTCTTGTGAACACAGTAATGAACCTTCGGGTTCCACAAAATGTTGGCTTCTCAAGAACGACTCTGCTCCACGGAGTAAGCAAATATTCTCGACCATTCTACGTACAAACCATCAAATGCAAAAATTTGTAAGAATGTGGAAGGAACAGTTAATGACCCAGTTTCTAATGTACCCGGTGGAGGGGGTTTGAGAAATTCTAATCATGATACCTGGCACAGATTTTGAACCTGATACCTTAGGATGGGGGTGGCAGACACAGGTTTGTAACAACATTTCCATATATACCGCATTTTAATTAGTCCACTGTTATCAAGTGATGAAGTTCACAGCACTGTTCACGATGAAGCAGCTACCACACATTTCACGTTGCGGAATCTTTACCTGTTAAATTTTTTTATGCAAACTGTAATGTGTATTACAACAACCTATTTTAAACTAAAGGCATGGAATATAAAAGTGTTTTAGTGTGCCACCACATGCAAAAGCTTGCTCAAACACCAATGACCTTCACCTATCAGCAAGCTAAGTGATAGCGACATTAACGAAGCAGCTTTCACTCCCTGATTTACCCGAGAGGGAAACAACATTAGGGCACGTATCAACTTTTTTTATCAATATGATCTTCGGGGATTTCAAGAGCCCCCAATCAGCACTGGATTCAACAACGCAAGTGAACCAGTCAGACACAGCGTGTGTGGACCACATGTCCCAATCTCGATAGAAGTCCCTTGCCAGGACATGAAGCTGACAATTCACCAGAGTCCAGTGCCAAGATTTAGAATGCATGGAGCTACACCTCCACTCCCCCATGTCTGCTCCGTGTAGTGCATCAGAGACAACATTACCTTTTTCAGTGTCTCTGCTGTGTATGAAAAACTAGAAACATTTTTTATTGCCTGTTAAATTAAAACCACACGCAAACTCGCCTAGGGCCCCAAACGTATACTAAGAGGGGCACATTTAATATTTCCTAGCTTTTAAATAGTGTTTTGGAGCGGTATAGTAGCCTACAGCGACGATCTCCATTATCAGCTGTTCAAACTGCAGACGTATTCGTAGTGAGAAAATATTTTCACGCCAATGCAGGAAGTAAACAGACTTCCCTCGGTGCCACTGAATGAGACGTAAAGTGCTTCAGTGACATACATAGATTTTTAATTTGGTGATTTCGCGATGATTTAGCTAATCTCTCTGAAGCCTCTTTTCCACAACACCACAGGCACATCTCGAATGAAATAATACGATGGCGGTACATTAAAGAATTGCTGGTAAATGCACGGAAGAAGGTGGTCGTGGTGTATTTCAGTAAACCACCCCAGAAACTTAACAAAAAGGCATCAGAACCTTACTCGGCCAATATTCGTGCCCTGAACGAGCAGTTAGGATGCGATCCAGCAGCGAAAACTTTCAATCAGTGAACCAGTTTAATCAGGCTGTAACAAAATGAAAGCCAAGTTCTGTCCTGATCTTTATTTTAGCAACAAAACCCTTTTTTTTGTAAAGGTTTTGAAAGCTTTTCAGCGCCTACTGGAACTCTTTTACGGAGATCCGTGCGTCCGGAAACCACTGATCACTGAAATGCTACAGATAAAAGAGACGTCCTTTAGTCACACGAGAGACTGGAATTATTCACGCGATCGAGCGAGAAAATACAAGGCACAAGACAGAATATTCGGTTAGGGAAATTAAACTTCTAATAACGCCGTATCCACGACCAGGATACGGAAATGAAATACAGAAACTGGACGAACACAACAGAAATCCTAGAAATCAACGAATCAGCAGCGGGTGATGAAGATTGGTTAGCTTCACGATCCGGCCGCCTTTTCACCGGGAAACAGATCGTTCCCAGAACAGTTTCCATCTTTGGTGTTGGAAATAAAAATCCATACCCTTACCAAGATTCGAACCCCGGCGGTAACAGTCACTTTATATAATTTTCCCGGCCAACCTGCTTCATGATAATATTAAAAAGTTAACTTGCTAACTGGCTTCCCAACAATAATTAATTTATCGCCACTGGACGTGACCATAACCTCATATTTTCTATTTTCCTACAATCGGTAGTAACAAACAATATGGCGGAGGTACGAACTAGTTTGCAGTAGCAACGACACTAGCGCCATTTTAATATTGAATCCTGTGGTAATGGATTTTCAAAAAAAATACGCGACCTTTGTTGAGGAATATTTTTTTTACAGAATGTGATACAATTTAGCCGCTTCATTAATTGTTCCTGTTTAATTATGTGAACTAATTAACAATGAACACTTCCATATGTGAGTCGACAATTAAAAATGATCGTGAACACACATAACCTAGAAAACATCACTACTTAAAAATCAAGTTGTTCTAAAAACGACAGCTACTCCTAGTACATTAACAGACGACAATAGTTTCACGTACAGAATGGGTCTAGTGGGCCTGCGCGCTGAAACAGCATCAACTGACAAAGCTTATTACAATTTCGTTCTACGCACTTCGTGCAAACAACACGTAACATCAACTGATAAAGATGTTCGAATGTGAACAGAGTCCAAAGTCAGTTTCAAGTGTAAAAACCAAGATTATAAGAATTGTCTGCAAAACGTGGTAAGGACTAGGAGAAACTGGACGTTCTGGGGGATGTTGGGCATACGAGGTTCAGTACGATTATTAATACAGGCATAGAAGAAATATTATACCTTAAATTACTTCGACATTCAATGTCACTGTTTCCAATCCATCTCAAAAAATCAAATCCAAAAATGTACGACGGATGAGAAGTGAAAAATTATATTGGACATTATAAAAACGTCTCGGAACCAAATAAAATCCAAGTTAAAATTACAGCCAAGCATTTAAAAACCAACGTTTCGTTCAAATGTCAATCGATCCGAGACAACGTAAATGCAAGGCCAAGGTCACTGTAATGGACATTCAATATCAAACGCCATTGCGTTCTAAAACAACTACACAAGACATTGGCTGGGTTACATGTGTGTCCTTACCTGTACCGGGTAGCACCATATGTTTGGGAAAACTCTTGAAAACGCGTTCCGGTGCGGGAATTTTCTGCAGAAAAGCTGCTTCCTTCGGCAGAGAAGAAAACACAAGGATTTCCCTAATTAAAAATCCCCCTTCAAAAACAAAACGTACATAATTACGCTGAGAGACATGAATACAGTTAAATGACGTGCTGAAATCTGCTCTCTGGTCAATGAGCAAAGTTTATTTACACGAACAGACGGGAGTGGATACAGATAATGGGGGCATCTAATCAATCACATGCTGACTGAGACCTGCGATTACACATAAGAAGCAATATCTCATCGTAACAATACATACCATCCCACTTCATCGATCGAAACGAATTAAAACGTTTCAGCACGTTATTAAACTGGGAAGGTCCACAAAACCACATGTTAATATGTCCCCCAACCCCCCCACCCACCCCCGAAAATTTAAATCCAAATATACGACGATGGTTAAGAATGTACTCCAAAACATTGTAAATTGATCCAAGTCCCGAACACGCTACTCGGCAACTCCACACGCAAATACCAGGAAAACATA